CATATGACTAACCTGTTCATCCACCATGTGGAGGCAGTGCTTTTAAGGCTGAGTTCACCTGAAACTCATCAGACTGAAGAAGTCTCTTGGACGAGAGACGAAATGTTTCACTGAAGAAGAACCCATCCAGAGGACCTACTTGTTTCTTTCTTTTTGATTTTTTTCTACCTGCGATGCATCAGGACATGTTTTCAAAAATGTTTCCACACCAAACACCTTGGAACAAAAMCAGCATCCTTACTTCTTTAACAAGACTATCTGTGTGGTACAGATCCAGGTGTGGGACACTGCCGGTCAGGAGAGGTTTCGAACCATCACGCAGAGCTACTACCGCAGCGCTCACGGTGCCATGATCGCCTACGACATCACCAGAGACTGCACCTTCGAGTCGGTGAGCCACTGGATCAAGGAGGTGGAGCTTTACGGAGCAGCTAATGTCGTCCTGGTGCTCATAGGTGAAGCRTGATTCGAACTCTAAACTTCTATGAGGACTATGTTTATGACTGCTAATCCTAACAGCTTGATTGTCTCCCCTTTTAGGTAACAAGTGTGACCTGGAGCAGGAGCGGCAGGTTCCTTTTCAGAAAGCCTGCGACCTGGCCAACGAGAGAGGCATCCTGGCTGCTTTGGAAACATCCGCGAAGGTGACCCTCACAAGAAAGTATGAACCTCACCTCACAGAGACCAGTTGAAGTCGTTAAACCCAAAGCTTTTCCTCCACAGGAGAGTCAGAACGTGGAAGAAGCCTTTCTGATGATGGCCAGAGAGCTGATGTGTCGGAACGGCCTCCACGTCCAGCGGGGGAGCTCAGAGAGCRGCGGCATGCCTGGAATTCTCCTCCGAGAAAACACTCGATCAGTCGATCTGAACGTAGCCGCCTACCAGCCTGCGGCGCCGGAGAAGAGGTCCTGTTGCTGATGCAGGAGAAACGACGACTGAGGATAGAAACGATTTGATATCGGGGATGAAAGTGAAGGACTTTATATTTATTGTAAGCTTTGAGGAAGAGGACTGAAAAGAAGATTGAAAACTACCTTAAAGCCTGAAGAACTACAAAAATCTGTTAAGGAGTATTGACAAATCTGTACTTTTCTATGACATGTTTGATGATCTGTGATCAGTGTTCAAGGATCKCAAGTAGTCTCCTTCACATCAGCTGGACTGTTTCCACCCCCCTATTTGTTGAGAAAAAAAAATCAGAAATTGTTGCAATTCTTCTACTTTTTTCTTCTTTTAGTTTCTGATCAAAGATCTGAATGTGAAAACTTCAAAATATCAACAATCCAAGCCGTTTCAGCGTTTTCTGGCCTCACCTACGTAACAAAGGGCAACAAAACAAGCACATCTGTTGAGTATTTTTTTGTTTGCCTTTAGTGAAAAAGATGGGTTTTTTTATGTTTTTGGGAAAGATTGTTTTTGGCAACTATGTGAGGATATTTGATCTTCTTGCAGCATTGTGGATTAAAATGTTTTAGAAAACCTGCTACCCACTGTAAAATATATGCTATAWATAAGTTTAGCGACAGCTGAACAGATCATGTTCTACCACTACTATGAAACAAACAAAAATGATTCTTACGAGAGCTTCGAAGGGCAAAAAAAAATGTTGAAACACAACGTTGTAATGCTACTTTTGTCTTTTTAATGACAGTTTCCTCTAGGATGCTTCTATAAATCAATTCAAGTCCAGTAGATGGCACTGTGCTGCAACACATGGTCCATAGCTGCAGGTTGGATGCTCACCATCTTACATAACACAGAATGATTTAAAACATGTGTGTGTGCAGCTTACATGCAAGCCAGGGGACATAAATAGTCAAATCAGCAAATCTAAGGCATTAGATTTCCTTGTTTCTGATGCCAAAATAGCAGATTGTAGTGAAACAATCTAAAGTTACGATCGTATCTGCATCAGGTTGATTTTATTAGCTTGGACTTGGGACAGAAGGGATAAAAGATCCACATTGAGACTAAACTGTAAGCTAAAAATGTATTGTATTCTTCCAAGTCTGCATTTGAATAGTATGTTTACAAGTAATTCATTGATTGAATGCAACCAAAAGTCAGTTGAAGGTGTCAGGAAATAGACGTTTCCATAAGCATCACTCGGCTAAAWTAGATCATTATTAACAAATGTCATGTTTTACAGCTCTGCAGTCAGAGTTGAGTCAAAATCTCATAAAATATCTGCTCCTTGTCATTAATAGGGCCTGGAAGGTGGAGCTGTACACCCCATTATAATCAGTGGTGGACAAAGTACTCAACTCTAGTACTTGAGTAAAAGTATTGATACTCATGGTCAAATCTACTCCACTACAAGTAAAAGTTACTCAGTCAAAAATCTACTCAAGTAAAAGTACTGAAGTACTT